ATTGATGGTCTGCATGATTTCCTGAATCCTTTCTGCCGTTGGTGCTACTCCAGTCAACGCTGCATCTGCCTGCATCTGTGCTAGGACTTGTGGATGTGCTTGAGTGACTGGTTCTAACATGTCCATCCAACTGCTCATAAGCCTTTGGAGTAAAATCTGGAATCTTGTCATCCATTTCATCATGTCAGCTGATCCTCGATTGAAGCGCACGAATTGCATGAACCTATACAGGAATACATTGGTTGATCCTTTCACGAAATATGGTCGTAGTACTCGTTTGAAATATTCTACGCCGGCTCCTGGTGGATCATTTGCCTTCAATGCATCTCTGTCTAAAACACGCTTGTGTACAGCTGCTTCTCCTTCTAATCTGTTTCTCAATGCTGGTCCTCTTTTCTCATCTTCCAGCTCGGTGATATCACACCAATCGTCTATGGCATCCTCATAGGAAAACCATGAAGTCTTTCCATCATAAGATGGGGGCACCTTTGTAGTGACCTGTGTTGTCATTGCTATTGCTGCTGGTTCTCTTCTCACATGCCTATTCACGTAGGCTGCTGGCTCATAAGCCACATCCGCATCAGGCTCTTCCCAGTCGTCAATCCAATCCATGGCCGTTTGCCCACTAGCAAGTCTATGCCTAGGAAAGGAGCTCACCTGGGTCTTCCAGGATCACTGCTCCGCTACCACTGAAAGAGTGACTAGGGCGTACACGGTAGAGGTGCAGACCGCTAGTGTCTTTTATGCGCAGAGTCTTATCCTCTTGCTCTTTGAGCCTTGAAGCAGTCAAGCATGGACACACTATATCAGCTGTTGGAGTGGAACCCTGTACAGGTAGGCTCTACTTTTCAGGGGGGGGGGGTCTGAATTGAGCGATCAATTATTAGACCCGGACGTCCCAACACTTGCTTCGCAAGACAAACTCAAGGTATCCCCTAAAGGGCTACCTTTCGTGACAACTACACTCGTGTTTGGACAACCAATCATTGTGGAATGCACCGTCCCCTTTGCCTGAACCACACACTCCAAAGAAAATGCAAGTTATGCGCAGCATAACCCACCGTGGCAACAATATGAAGTGCCTTTGAAGTCACAAGGATAAAGCTGCCTTGCGTTGCATTGCATTGCGCTTGGGCATCCGGAAAGCAACATCAAGAGCCCAGCACTGGCAGCCAATGCTGCTGTGGTTGCATAAAGACACGCCCAGCCCACCTGCACATTCCTTTGCTTTTTGGAACACAGGCCACACGCCAACAACATTTAAAGACAATAGACTCTTTGCATCTATATACAGCACTCTCGAAACCCTGTCAAAACCTTTATTGAGCTGCTCTGCGCAACATTAGGCAAAACAGGAAGGGGCGCTTGCGGGCATGTCTTCCTCAAATCAAGGCCCCTTCGCAGGGCAAGTGTCAGTGGTCATGTTGCATGGTGCAAATATGTTGCGTCACACACCCGGTTCAAAATGTTCGGGCTGGGCAAGCAATGGAATGGAAGCCAACCTCAGAAGAAGTTAAGTTTCCCCAAAATCTAGGAACCAAATCATTAGTGCAAGCGCTTCTTCAAGGAAGCTTCCTCCGCCGTCTTTAGGGCGGCGGGGGGAGCTTTCTTGAAGAAGCGTGAGCTATCCTGCGTGCATACTAGTAGCTACTTGTAGGTACTAGCTACCTCTTCTACTAGCGACTCCCTAGCTAGTACCTCCCAGCGGCCTACCCCCCTATTACTAAAAAAATAAACATATATATATGTATACATAACTATTAAAAAAACACACACACACATATTCTGCGCCTTGCCATCTGCACTACCATTGTCCGGCAAAACAAACTTGCTCTTGGCCGTCTCACGACGCCAACGAGCCAAGCTAGATGGGTTTGAGCCTTTCAAAGAATATGTGCACAGTTGGTGAATGTGTGGGCCAAGCTAGGTGTCTGTTTGCGTCAAGTCAGTCGAAGTCAGTGGGTATGGATAGCACAAGCAGCCAGAAACCGAACAAGATCCGGGCCAAGGTAAGCACAACGAACGGCTCTGCAAAGCCCTGAGATCCCGAAAAAGTACGAGCAACTTTTGCTATCTTCAGTGCAACCCCAGAGCACTGTGCTTCTGGCTTCAAGCACGGATGCTATTGCCACTAAAAGCACTGCTCCTTCATATCGCGATCCCTTGGTTGAAGCGGGGGTCTTTGAACGCATGAGCACATATACAGTATCTATGCATCTATGCAATGCATTCTGTCCAACCCGCGCACAGTGTCATGATAAGGGTGGCCATGTTCCTGGCCGTCTAAAAAGTTTCTCAATAACCAAGAAATCCTCACCTTCTCAGCAGAGAAGCTACGGGTTCGTGCAGGGATTGTCAACGGTTCCGCAAAGAGACAAATTGTGAGTTGGGAGAATGTGGTCTGTTGTTGCTGAGTAGATGGGAGCTGACGTTGATGAAATTAATGGACTCTTTGCAAATCGAGGTCAAAGTGTTATTCGGAAACTAAATGGTGATCTTCGGAAATTTACGGTTTTACTCGAACTAATCTTCGGAAGCTTGACGGTTTTCTTCGGAAACTATTCTTCGGACATTTTACGGTTTTCTTCGGAAACTAATCTTCGGAAACTAAACGGTTTTCTTCGGAAACTGATCTTCGGAAACTAATTCTTCGTCACTAGGTACGTCAATAACCCACCCACCCACCCACCCACCCACCCACCCCCACCCCCCCCAACCCCCCGTGCTCCTTCGTGCAAGTTGGATACAATGTGGAAGTTCTGAAGAATACTTGCTGAAGCCTGAAGCCTGCAAGAAAAAGTAGTTGCAGATCGCAAAACAGTTTCTGAAGATCGCGAAATAGTTTCTGAAGATCACCAAATAGTTTCTGCAGATCGCAAAATAGTTTCTGAAGATCGCGAAATAGTTTCTGAAGAACGCGAAAAAGTTTCTGAAGAATGCAAAAAAGTTTCTGAAGATCGCGAAATAGTTTCTGAAGATCGCGAAAAAGTTCCTGAAGATCGCAAAATATGTTCTGAAGATCGCGAAATAGTGTCTGAAGAACGCGAAATAGTTTCTGCAGAACGCGAAAAAAAATCTGAAGAATGCAAAAAAGTTTCTGAAGATCACGAAATAGTTTCTGAAGATCGTGAAATAGTTTCTCTCGAGCCGAAATAGTTTCTGAAGAATAGTTTATGAAGAGTAGCTGCGGAAGAGTACCAAATAGTTGCGGAAGAGAAGTTTCAGAAGAATGGAGAGTTGCGGAATAGGACGTTGTTTGCAAATCGAATTTGTAGCACCTGAACATAGTGAATGAAAGGCATGGGTTGTGGACCTCAAGCTGTGGCCTCCTTCTGACCAAAGCAATCTTCCACATGACTGAGCACATTGCTCCGTTCAACATACTGTCAAGTCTGGTTCAGTCAAAGATTGAACAGTTGGCCAATCTGCTCTGCTTATCTCCGCCCTACCGTGGCTGTGAATGTTGACCTGTTGTTTCTATAGTTCTAGCTGTGTGTGGAATGTGATTGAACGAAGAAACGTCTTCCCCTTCTTGTCTTCAACTTGTTGTTGCTCAGAGTTTCAGTGGATGAGTCATACCAACAAGTTCACCACTGTTCACACCAGGGAATGTGGGTCTATTGTGGCAGCACATTTTCCTGCCAAATCTCTGAGTCTGGGCTGGAACGAATCCAATAGACAACAAGTGGGCCAGCCGCAACCTGCACGAGAAACCAGATTTGGATTTGCATTTCAAGCAAAGATCGAGCAAAAGCAAATTCAAGATTCGCTATGCACTATGGCTGATGTTGCTGTGCCGGCCATACGGACTAAGTAGGACGCTGCACCAGAAGCACTGCCCATCCATCCCAAATTCACAGAAGATTGCAGGCCATCCTGCAGAAAAGGAGAACACTAAATGGGTCACGTGGCGGTCTGACGGTCTGTCCAAATCTGCTTTCGTGGATGGTGATCGCAACCTCGGCTGCACCAAGAGCACTAGCTTGTGAAAGTTTTGCTAATGAGAGGGTATCCATTCCATTCAGCTTCTTTGGCTCCTGGCGCCACTTTGCGAAAACCCTCTTTTGGGACAAAGAGAACTAAATTGCTCAAGAGCCTCAGCATGTATGAAGCTACGCAAAGCCATGGAACGCCTATTCAGAGCTCCTGGCTGTAGGGAAACATAACCGACTCCGTAAGCAGATGGAGATGCAAGGCGAGCGACCAAGACATTCAAGATGAACCTTAGCTTCCCGCAGAGACGAATGGCTGCATGAGGGGCAAATTTTGTGTCAACTGAGAGGCACACGTCAAAGCCCTGGACAGGACTTGAGTCGATACTACCTGGTTGAAACACTTTTGCTTGCATCAAAACATAATATATTGTGTCCTCAAAAAAGACAATCAGGTTGGCAAGGCTGCACCGATTCCCGCAAACAAGTCAGCCATCCAACCGCTTGGATGTATGAAGGCGCTTCATGCGTACTCACTTGGCACGAGTCATAGACTCTAGAGACTCTAGACTAATAGCGATGGCCTCCAACCTAATAGGAATGGCCTCCATCCTAGGAGCGATGGCCTCCACCCTAGGAGCAATGGCCTCCAATCTAATAGCGATGGCGTCCAACCTAATAGCAATGGCCTCCAGCCTAATAGCAATGGCCTCAACTAGACTATACTAAAGCGTCTTGCAGCTTGTGGGCCACCGTGCAGTGATCTGAGGTCAGCTGCAGTTTTGACATTGTACTACCCCTATGTTGCTGTCCTTTTCTTCCGCTCAACTTGATTCATCCCACAAGGCAGTGTTATTTGCAGGTCACGGCTGTGAACCAAAGCTGAAATGCAAGTCTCGCTCAAGACTCAAGAGCAAGTGTGCAGTGCTTGACAAGGTGTGATGCAAAGAGCCATCCTGCAGAAGCTGACATGTCAAAACATTTATATATGTAGGTGCTCCACATGAAGAGTACTGACTAACTGTTTCCAAGGTTGCCTTGTCAGTCGTATTCAGGGCAAGTCTCTTTTCTGCACATGTGAACTTACTCCTCCATTCGATCAAAGAGATAGTTTGCCGCTAACTCCTGGCACCAGCAGCGTGGCCAAACACATACAAGCAACCATTATAGATTAGTGTCTCGCACTATCACACTTAAAGTCTGAGCATGTTCTGTTGCAGCCCACTTTGCGGGCACACATCACCAGTGCACACAAATGTTCTGTCATCACAGCCATGTGAAGCAGCTTTTTTGCTAGGTTCTTGCAACAACTGGCCTCGTTTCTGTCGCAAGACAAGTAAGCTTCAACACACGCACGACGAGGAAATCCAAGCGCTTCTAAACGCTGGATTGCCTGGAAGCATACTCAAACCTGAAAGAGTTCTTGCTCTCGAGCTGGCTTCACTGTGCCTCTTCATCCCCTGCTCCAAGTTGGGGCCTGAGGATGCAAACAGTTTGCTCTCCGCCTCTCGGCCCTTGAACTAGGGAAATGAGAGCCGAGACTTTTTGATTCTGGATTCCTCGCAGGGAGTGTATGTAAGCCTCCCCGATGTTAAGGATCTCACGGCCGTGCTGGCTGTGCACCACGAGCCTGAGCCACGAAATCACGAGCCGGGTCAGATGGGTCAGACGGGTCAGAGTGCTACAAAGTAAAGCCTTAGCAGCCATTTCAAGTCCAAGCGGCTTGAGCAGCCTGCAGCATGGCCTTGGGTCAAGAAAATGGACACTCCCTTGAAAAGAAAGATGCAAAAAGGAACGTTAGGGTTTTTCTTCCTCTTTAAAGAGAGCCTTGCAGCCTTACATTCCTTTTTGCATCTTTATTTTAGGAGCATCCCTCTTCTTGGGGCCGTATTTATAAACGTTTTTGTCTTCGCTAAGCGATCGTCTTTTCCGGGGGCTGAGAGACAGAGCGTCCCTCTGTATCTGAGATCTTAGCTGCGATAGGATCAGCTGTGGGCGGTTGAGACAAAAGGCGAACGAACCTGTAAAAGAGCTCAGGGCGGCACACGCCTGCATGCAGCATTGTCAGAAGAGACATAAATTTGCCGGCGCACTCATCTTGGTGCTCCGCGATCAGCTTGATCATCTCAGGATCCCCCTGGAATCTTCCACAAATGTTATTCTGACAGAACATGTGAAAGTATTGTCGAAACGCTCCGACAACATGAGAAAGGACACAACGAAAGCCACGACCAGCCAACAACCGCATATGTCCGTTCTCTAATTCTCCATCTCTCGATCGCACTTCTTTGGTTATCAGGCCCTATATGTTTTTAAAAGTGCCCCTAAGGGTGGTTTCCATATGTTCGCTAGCTCTCTCGACCTCTTCCTCCGCTTTTATCCCGCGTCCCACTGGCCATCCAATGACCTGTCTACATTGACCTATGACCTATCTACACTCTACTCTACATGCAGCCATATATCCACATCTCCTTTCTGACCTCTCTATCTCTTTATTTATGTTTCTATCCGTGTATATCTTCAGCTTATCTCTGTGTCGCGCTGTCTCTCTGACACTCCATCCCTTGTAGCCCGTCCATCCATTCGTCCAACTAGCCAATTGGCCTATCCGTCTATCCACCCACTTGTTATCTTCTCTGTAGCCCTCTTGTCTCTATTCCCTATCTCTTCACCTTCTCTCTCTGCCCCGCTATCTCTCTAACACCCTCTCCCCTTCTATTCATCCATCCAGCCATCCACCCACCCACCCCATAGGTTCAACTAGGCATCCATTGGCATATCTACACTCTACACTCTACACTCTAATCCGTCCATCCATCCATCCATCCATCCAGCCAGCCATCCATCCATCCACCCATTCGCCCAACTAGCCATCCATTTGCCTATCTATCCACCTACTTACTAGCTTCTCTGTAGCCCTCTATGTCTCTATCTCCCTATCTCTTCACCTTATCTCTCTGTCTCGCTATCTCTCTGACATCCCGAATGCGAAGTTGCTCTTCGTTGTCCTATCCCCACTTTCCAAGTCTACACAACCTATCCCAAGAACACCTGGCCCGACAGGACCGAGAACGACGCCCGGACTGACCAGAAACTCTCCATCCATATCTACCGATCATGTTGTTACATCTATCCAAACCTACTTCACCATCTCACTATGCTTATATCGCTCTCCACCTCTTCTGCTTTTCCCTCTGTCTCGATATATCTCTGACATTCCCTTCCTTTTATCCATCCCTCCATTCACCCACCCTATCATCTAGCGACGCTACACATGCACTAAAGAACCTCCCTATCTCCATTTCACACTATCTCCATTTCTTCTCTGTCTGTCTCGCTATCTCTCTGCCACTCTTGCCCCTATCCATTCATTCATCCATCGACCTACCTACAAGTGACTCAAAGTGCTGATGATGCTAGCAATGATGCGTATGAATCCTCGACATCACTTTGACCAAAATTGGCACCGACACCACGAAGACAACAAAACCGACACGTTTTCACCCTCTCCGGCACACCTAACAACTCTCGCCTACCCTAGCTTTTGTGACAAGAAAAAGACCTGCTGTTTGTCTTTTTTTGATGCCTCGAACGCCTACACATCCAGCACAGAGTGTATATATGTGAATGCAGCGAATGCATGGTGTCCCACTGTACAAACTCCGCCTTCGCAATGACCGTAAGGACTTGGTTCAGTGTACTTGGATGCTGTTGAACCTTGGGAATCGCTCCTTTTGCCCTTTCAATTCAACACGAGTCAAAAGAGCAAATGATGCCAAGCAACAGCCTGCCGTAGAGCATTGAATTTTGGGTGGTTCGCCAGCGGTGCCAAAGGTCCTGGATGACAAGGTATGGAGAGTGCCCGTGCCAGTTGCTAAACAATCTTAGATACCATGAGCCATTTGAATCTTTTGTGTACAGTTTTGCCACATGTCACCCAAACTGCCTGTTTCCGGTGCTGGAATAAGCGGCCTCCAAAGCAAATCAGTTCCGCATGGCACAAAGCACTCCGCTTGGTGTTGTGTGTGTGTGTGTCGGTGAACGAACATGGCAACGCTTGGCATTGTCTGAAAAAAAAAAAACGAAGTATCACACCTCGACGGTTGCTGCGGCATCTGTCCTCAGCCACGGCACTTTCGACATGGCAAGCAGCGCAGCTCTCAGGTTGAGCTCTCCACCAGGTGCTGGCGGCACCTGATTTGCGGCCAGCACAAAAAAATGAACCAAAATGGAATAAACTCTTCCAAAACAAATGCAACTGCTGCAATTAGAATGCTGAAGCCCTCAATAGACCAGGTCCAGGTCAGTGAGCTAACATCTGAGTCTTGCAAAATTTGCGGTTCTTGAAGCAAAAACTAATCGCTTTGAACCCTTTGGCTGCTACCACTGGCGGAGCTGGCACAGGCGCTGGAGGAGCTGGCGCAGGTGCTGGTGCAGACCCATCAGCCTCAGAGGTGCTGCAACCTGGACTTAAAGCAACAAGAGTCAACACTGAAATATTGAAACAAAGAGCAAAATGAAGGAGTAGTGTCTCCAACTGACAGAAGCAAGTTAGCTGTTGCTGTCATGGTCATCGTCGTGGCTGTGTCTGGGTGTGGCAGGTGTGGCAGGTGTGGCAGCGATAGTCGTGCTACTCACAATGCGCGCCAAAAACGACTCTCATGCCTAAGCAAACCTTTGCCCTGCCCCCAAGACTGTAGAAGCACTGAATCAATGTATGCATGCTGAGATATGAAGTTCTGATGTGATTCCAAAGCAAGACTTTGTGCTGTCTGCCGGCAAATCCCAAAAGCCGTCATGGAAGAGCTCAAAGGGAATCTCTTCAAACAAAACAACAAATTGTAGAGTCCGAAGCCACCAGAAGATTGAATCAAAAGTGAAAAATATAAAGACCCCAGGAATGAGCAACTACCAAAACGTCAATGGCATCAAAAGCAACTGTACTGTTGCAGCAAGGCTGAATATGAATCCTAGGTTGGGCGGTGTTCGTTTCTCAAAAGATGTGAAGGCTACTGATGAGGCTCACCAAATAAAAGCGATGTTCAAGGTTCCAAAATGCAACTGAAAAACACACGCGCAGCCACGCAATTACTGTACACAGTGCACGTCCAAGGCAATTGAGGCATATTGAGGTCATGGTCTCCAGTCTCGAGTTTGTTGGTCTATGAGTCATATTATTTTTTGACACCTTGCGAACTGGCAAACAAATTTCTTATTCTTATGTAACGAATTTCAAGGCGCAGCAGAGACAACATTGAGAATCAGCGCACCCCAAACTCGGATATAAGAGTGCCTTTGACACAGGTTTCCATGCACGTGGTGACGTGCTCCAAAAGAATGCTGCGCATAGTTAATGTCCGATCAACTCAACCGCGCGCCCACACACAAAAGGTCAAAAAGCAGTAAAGTATGGTTCACTTGAAGTCTCAACTATTGAAGGACTACAAGCTTGTTGATATTGTGAAAGAAACCCAAGCTTTGCCTGCTATTTGATAACCAGTGCTTTGAGTTGCCAAGTCCGATTAAAGGTACAGGCCAAATGTTGCAAATGTGGAGGAATGCCACTCATGAGGTACTCCACAGCCTGATTCAAGATGGCAGATTAACTCCTCAGGTGAAAAAATAGGATATCATCCACAAACGGCGAAAGGAATCTGAAGCATTTCACTGCATGCGGAACAAAAGACTTGGGGACTGAAGTTGGCACTCTGTCAGCATTGTTGAAGGCAGCGCGCAGGCATTGCCTCAGAAGGCAGCTAGAAAATGACAAGCAAGGGATCATTCACGAGGTTGCCAGAATTTTGCACTGTCTTGGCCGGCCTCACCAATTCTCTTGGAAAACCCATCTCACAAAGATTCTGCACTGCAGTCCTTAGGTGTGAAAGGTACTCTAGAAACGCTGTGGCTAAACACAAAGCCGCACTTCATCTATATAATTGCAGTTCAAGGATCTCATCCTCTGCCTGACAGAGAACAACCATCAAGATATCCCCAGGAACCACATTTGCACTTCGCACACTTTGGACACTTTCACACTGCACCAGGGCAACGGCTGGAGCAGGGGGCGGGGCCGCTGGAGCGGCGGCTGCTTCCGGAGCTGGAGCCGCTGGTGCAGCTGGAGCTGGTGCAGCTGGAGCAGCTGGTGCCTCAGCCTGGCTGAAAGTGTGGCTATGGTGAATCGTGCTCTTTCTGAACAGAAAAGGTCATGACTTTCCAGCCTGCTTAGCTTTTCCCATCATTATGACCACGAAATCGCCATCAACAATGCCGACATCCTGCAAACTTGCAGAGTCAGTGGTAGAATGGTAGAACAGAGATGAACGTAGAAGGATGCAGAAAGTGTGAACAATTTGACCTACCTCAGATGGATGTCGACTGATGAATGCATCATTTACTTCCAAGCCAACAAAAAGGCTGATAGACCTTTGATTCCGTCTGTCTGGAAATGCTTGCCGAACAAAAACGCTCTTGGGAGCTTCCTGCAGAGTGTCAGCATCCTGCAAAACCTGCGGATGCAACAGGAGGATGCATCTGGTGTCGCAAACTGCAAAAAGTCTAGTTGTATGGTATCACCAAGGCCAGCAGGCAGAAGGCCTTGCCCTTGTGCAGGACCTTCTGCAGCTCTGTGGGGAGTTCCTCAACAAAGGCAAGAAACGGCCAACGGAGCCGATGGAAGAGTGCAATTAAGAGTGTGTTTAAAAAAAGAACCTCAATTTGCAAGTTCTCAAAGGGTATATTTTGGAGAAGCGAAGCTCTCTAAGGCTGCTGCTGGTTTTGTCGCTGCGATGGCCTCCTTTACCGCCTCTATCAAATCTATCGCTTGCAACTTGAGACTTTGAAGAATCCGAGAATCTCGCCGCTTTGGTTGCACATGAAAGTACCATTGTACAGGCAATTATTGGAAAGCTTGCAAACAACCACGAAACGCCATTGTCCAGTGGCCCTGCACTGGTGTTTGAAAAAGGATTGCAGGTCAGAAACTTTCCCCGAAATACTCGCACGAGCACAAGGGGAGACGAACAAGAACCGAGCGTGCAATAAAGTGCAACGCAAGTGCACGACGCCACAGCTGCTGTATGCATATTCGCATTTCCGAAGCAAGGGTTCTTGACCCAACAATTTATGTGTTTGTCTCGGTGCTTAATTAATTGATCTATACTGACCACCAGAATACTCCCTGCATCAACGGAGTATTTGTACCCGAGAAAAGAACTTCACGCATGCACCAAAAGCCAGCTGCAGTGCCTTGAGGCTGCGTGATGTGTGGTTCGCAGCAGTTCGCTGGGATGCTTTGTCACAAATGTTGGAATGTACAGCACAGATGTAGCAGTCAACGCACGGCCACACAAATTGGGAGACCAATGGAACCGTTGACGTGGCCAAAAACGCTGTGTGACACACTTCGATTTGAATCCTGCCAGACATCTTACAGTAACCAGATGGAGGCCATCGCTATTAGGTTGGAGGCCATTGCTTCTAGGTACGTAGGCATCTTCAACGTGCAGTCGGCGGACTCTAAGCACAGATTTTGACTGTAATTCAAGGCCTTTATGGTCCACACTGGTTCAACTTCCAGGTCAAAGGTTTCCCCTTTCCTGCCAATGATTTGCGATGATCCATGACTCTTGAAAGAGATTATGCACAAGTTGCTCGATTACCCAATTCAATAGATTTGCAAAGAATACTTCGATGTACAGCAATAATGATGCCAAACATCCCTGAACAAGTTTCCTCTTGTGAGACACCCAACTACATAGAGTCTCACCTCCTCCACCAAGAACGCTCTATGTTCGACTCACAGACTCCGGGAGAGTGTTGCATCAAACAAGCCACGGATACAGCGGTCGTACCTGCAACTTCATGGACCTGACCACACAAAGTTGAGAACAGGCTGTCACGGTCTGTCACGGAGAAAAATGGTCCCAACAGGCAACTGGACTTTGCTCACCGCACCTTGTACCAAAGGAAGCTACGTTTCCACGAATTTGAACTAGCTGTGCCAATCCGGCCAATACCCTGTGCATGTATGTAGTGTATAGTTCGTCTTAACATGATTAGTTGAAGCTGTCTTGCCAAGGCTTTGAATGAAGGGCTGTTTGGAATCCTCTCACCTGCAAACAAAGCTTTGCAGGCAACCATGGTGCCTTTGTCTAAAATGCTGCAGCATTAGGACATATAAGCACAAGAACTATGCTCCTTTGCAGACTTCCAACAGGAAAGAAGCTCCGTGAACTCTTTTGGTCGCGCAATTGCTAGGCTAACTCATAAGTCTACGCAGCTCTCAGTATGCTTTTGCGAAAATTGCCCACCTTCGAGATGGCTTCCCAGTCAAGGGACAATCCTGCCACAGCAAGAGGGCCAAGGGGCAACAGTACGCATGGGAAATCTCGCACAATACCCGGGCGATTAACCTACCGAAGTTGAACATGGGTGAAACATTTTCCATTTGTCTGCAAAGAGCTTCTCCACAAGAGTAAAGTGAGCCCATGGTTTGTTGTCAAAGTGCGAGAGATGCCCTTGGTCTTTAGCTCTCTCATCTGTTCAAGGGGCCTTCTCGCTGGCAATCGTTTTCTCATCTGGAGAGGCTGTGACAAGTTTGGTTATTGTGCTCATCATCTGCATTCGGCAAGGTCAGACTTGTGAGGGCAAAGCAATTGTATACATGTATATATATATATACAAGATATACAAGCACTGTCTCAATCAGCGACAATTCATCCATGCGTCATCAATCCCTACAGGGCCCACATACACTTCCCATGATGAAACAGTTGCGGTCAATTTGCCGGTAAGACAAATCCGTGCGAAAGGGTATTAATACCACAGGTCTCTTATAATGTTTGCATGGGCATGGGTAGAGTCTCTTAGAAGGCCCAAGGCATCCCAACGGTCTTGGGGCCTGTCAGCATTTTTGCTCTGAAGTCGTTGGTGTACACATTGAATTCATCTATTCAAGCGGAAAGAAGTAATAATAGAAACCAAAGGCGGGTGGCTGACCGGAATGGCATGACAATGCATGAATAGATTGACTGTGCAAAGCAAGTCGTCCAACAAGCTCTCAATCATGCACTCGTCTGCAACTCAATCAAAAACTGATGTTCCATCCTACTTACTCCTGAGACGTAGCTATGCAGGCTCAGGATGATTTCAAGATGTGCTGCTGCCCTGGAGGCTACAGGCCCAAACCCTCGTCCTTGCATCATGCTGCTGGATTCTTTAGATGTGGCAAGGAAGAATCCAAGGATTAGCAAAACCGCTGGAAAGAATGTTGGACTCCCACATTCGCAAACAACTCACCTCCTAGGTCTCCTGGCTTGAACACAGGCAGAACCTTTCACGCCAAATGTTGCGAAATGTCGCGAAGTTACATAATATTGTGATATATTCACTTTTTTGTTGTAAGCTGCATGCTGCTAATGCAAACATATGGCAATGTAATGTACAACAAAGCAGCAAAAAGCCATCGTGCGGCAGGACAACTCCAGAACGGCGAAAATAACTTCTACAAACCACATGCACCAACAAACAGACAAAGCAAACTAGCTGCTGTACCACACTGTGCTTCATCGAGGTTAATGTTTCATCCTTGTCAATTGCATATGCTCTCTTTCGCTAGGCCTTTCCCAGCTATGAAGACGTAGGAATTGTGGCAGCAGTGGAGAAACGGACACACTAAACCCTCCTGCTCGTCCGGCAGCTCATCTTGGTCCAGCGGATAACACCTCAGGGTCCAGCAAGACTGTGAAAATGACTGTGAGCTTCCGCTCTGTGCCTTAAAGTAACCCCGGTCTCTTCTTTGATGCTGTCCTGGCTCTGTCAGTTGGAAGGACTTGATCGAGGAAAAGGAAAATACCAACCTCGTCATCGTCATCACCGCCCCATGGGACAAGCATCATTCCAGGCTCATCCTCCTGACTTCTGAAAAGCGGTGCGGCGTAAAGCCCTACGCTGAACATTCCCTGCCTTCAATCTTTTATTGAAGTCGGAACGAGACTCTATTCGAAAAATCAAGCGCTGCCTGGCGCACACCATTCACAAGATCGACTACTGTACTTCAGTGCAGCAAGAATGTCAAGGTCACCGTCTTCCAAAACTATATATGTCTCCAAGCTCAAGCCAACAAAAAGCCGACATGAGTGCGGCTCGGTAAACTTGAAGTTACTAGGAACAAGAAGCTACTAGGGGCTCCTGTCATCGCTACTAGGAGCAAGGACGCTACTAGGGCTCTTGGCCTTACTACTAGGAACAAGAAGCTACTGGGGGCTAAAGGAACCAACGACCTTCGGTGGTGAGTCTACTGAGCACCAAACTTCAACTGTTCAGAGCGACTCTTGAGCTCCGATTTCATGTCAGTCAAAGCGCGAGACACCTCCGTCATGGATGCACGAGACTGGTAGCTAGAGACACGGCCAAGCTGGAAATAAAGACACCAACAACTGTTGTTGAGGTCTTGGTCTTGGAAGTCTTTTGTGGCGTCAAAAAAGAGATTGAGAAAGAAGGTAAGGGAGGCTTCCTTTAAAAGGGGAGCCCTTACCTTTTTTTCATGTGTGTTCCTCTCTTCTGGTATTTGACAATGAAGAGAGTTTGAAGCCATTTGATCCGTTCCAGCTGAAGCGATGTTCAAGGCCTGCCTTGTTGGAAGGATCTTCAAGCGGGACTTCAAACTTTTCACCACCTGTCCGAAGCTTCCCCAGGGCGATACCTGCCATTGCCAAGACCAGGAAACAAGAATGGAAAGTTTATCCACAGGAGTGAAAAAAAGGCAGAAGAAGGAGGTGTTGTTTCGCATTGCATTGCATCGTGGGTGTGGGTTGTCCCGGGTCAGCGCAAGTGGCAGTTTCCCAAGGGCCAATTGAGTTTACAACGACGCTTGAAAGAGATCAGCTACGATCTAAAGAGCTTTGTGAACGTGTCTTGTGTGTCCCCACCACTTGTGACTGGCCAAGCTAGAACAGAGAAAGTGCTTGAAACGACCAAGCACACGGCCGCATGAAGCCAAGCCAGCCTTTCTCGAGATCTCGCATCCCGAGTTCAAGTCTAAGAGGGACTCCACGGCGTTCCTTCGACTCCGAACAACAGGAACTGTTATATATCAAGTGAGGGAAACAAAGATGATATAGATCATGATGTGCTAGAACCCTCTAAAGCTGCGTCACTTTGAATCTGGAGATCAGACCCACTCGAAGTACTTTGCTCCAGGTTTCATACCTGTCATGGGAGACACAAGATTCGTTGTTCTCTCAATCCAATTGTCCAAATATGAGCAAACAGAGGCACTCAATCGATCGTCGATGTGCACCTCGGACTGCCATTTTCGAACGGCTGTTCATCTTCATGCCTCGATTTGGGTTCCTGGCTCTCATTCCAACTGCTGTTAGATCCTTGCGCAAAGCAGCTGCCGCATCGAGAACCGATGCCTTGCCACTCGTGCACACGGGTGTACCACTTGCAACAAAGTGGATTCAAGCGCACTTTGGCTCCCTACATGGCCTGCTGCTGCGGATCCTTTGCATACAACGGCCTCGGAGGCACCATCACACACACCTTCCTAAGGTTTTGACCACTCACAACAATCAAGAATGTCTCTATATACAAGACATATATAGATTGCTGAGTTCACATGTCTGCAATCAATAAATGCATGAAAGCTGCAATATCACGACCTGAATGGCAGCTAAAGCAGGAGGCATGATAAGCCCTCCATCATCTGAATGGGCCTCAGAAACACACAAAACCAACAAGAGTTCCATGAAGAAGCAAAAAGTGATTTTTTTCAACATAAACAAACACAAGAGTCAACGGCGTGGGTTGAGGCACAGGGTGCGTGACCTACATCATAAATGACATGAGTGAGTTTGGCAAAAAAATGTTGCTGAGAACTCATGACATCGCTCGGTGTTTAAAATTGAATGCGGTGGGCAATTTGTGTCCGAAGAACGCGAGTCTGGCTTTGGCCTTTGATCTCTGTATCAGGGGTCGATGACTGTCATCAAATCTTCAATCTCTGGTTTTGTTGTTTTTAGGACATCATTCACATTGAAACTTGAGTTAAGACTGGCATTGGCGCTAAACAAACCATCAGTACCATACGGGTTTAAAAAACAAAAAAAACATATTAAAAAAAAAACATATATATATATAACATATATATATAGTGTGTATATAGATATATATATAATATATGCTCCCCCAAAAAGAAAGAAACACCGTTTTCTGACAAATTTTTTGCTTGTATGTCAGACTGTGAGAGTTGTCCTTGATTTCAGATGGTACAACACTGCAGTGCATGAGCTGAAAACATGAACGTAGCAATGGTAGATGTTTGTATCTTGTCAGCATGCCGAAGAATTTGCTAGAGATTTCAATTCCTTGGCAGGCCCAAAAAAAAGAGATTTAGCGGCTGTAAAATTTTTGAATTTGTTGAGCCTGCCAAGGAATTTGCAATTTTTGGCCTACCCGACCTTCAAAAAACACTGGCAGGCTCAAAATAAAAACAAAATGCATAAGCCATAGTCACAAAACACTGGCAGGCTCAAAAACGTCAAAAAATATCAAAAGTGATAGCATCTATAGAACTGTTTGTGGTTAATAAATTTTTGATTTTTTAGACTGCCAAGGAATTTGCAACTTTTGGTCCACCCGACCTTGCAAAAACACTGGCAAACTCAAAAATCAAAAAAAAAAAATACCACCCCCCAGAGTCCCTATAGTTCCTAAAACTGTTGATTTTGTTTTTTTGAGCCTGCCAGGGTTTTGTGACTATGGGCGTTTGAAATGTTTGTTTTTTGAGCCTGCCAGTGTTTTTTTGCAATTTTTGGTCTACCCCACCTTGCAAAAACATTTGCCAGCTCAAAAAAAACAACAAAAACACTAGCCCCCAAAACCTTTTTCCCGAAAGCATTGCGTAGAGTTCTTCCGGAAAATCCCTTGAACACTGACACTTCGACACTTACACTTACACACTGACACTTCCACCACACTTGCACTACAACATGAACGCTATACGTACCTCAGTGTAAGTG